CAAGAAATAATTGAGAAAGTCAATTCTTTTGAAATATTATTCATTTTTTTGTGTTTGTCTGTTATTATTTGTAAACAAAATAGAATGATTTCGAAATGTCTAATGAATGTGAATGCAATGAAGTTTCGAATGCACTGCATGAAATTTAGCATGTCAAAAAGATATTCACACTTTATTTGAGATATGATTACTTTGAAGCGAATAATTGCAATGATTTTCTTAAATCAGTGTGAATATGCTGTTACGAGATATTACGTTTCATTTTAAACTGAGCATTGGGGGAAATGTTTGCCTTTTCAAGGATGACAGTGGTTGGTGGTCACGCTAAAATCACGAATTGGTAGAAGTTAAAATTCACGGGCTGGCCATTCAATCGGGTCTTGGTGGTTGAATGATTTACGAGCTTGACTTGTAACCAGAAGGTCCTTAGTTCAACCCTCATTGGGTGCGTACTTCTGACGATTCCTGAACTAGGATGAAACAGCTGTCCAGTACTTTCTTGTTTTCATTCGTCCTTTAAGTGATATCAGTCCGTCGTCCAACCTGTAACAAATAGAATAATTACAAACTGATTCTTGTAAATATATTTGTAAGCCCAAGCATTGAGGGCTAAGCAATACGCGATTCATATCAGTGTTTATAGCGACAGTTATTAACCATTAAGTTATAATGTATTATTTTTACAGCAGAATAACTCCATTCTGCTGTGTGATTATGTGAGTCATTGGTGCAGCGGTAGAATTCTTGCCAATCGCACACGTAGTGAGGGGTCCAGGGACCCGCCAACTCACTCCTAAATCCACAACATACCTTGCAATGACTGTCAATTAGGTCAACTACATAGTTCAAACTAGTCGATTAGGAGTAGTTAGATTTTCAGAACACAAGAATTCAGCTTAGGTTAGAATGACTGACACCGCGAAGATAATTAATTCGGAAAACAGTTCAGCAATTCGACTATATGCATTACCACACAAACAAACAATAGGGTGGGAGAGGGTTGAAATTCTAAGAAGCAATATGGGTAGATGGATAGAGAGGTTGATTACTGAATCTTTGATCATAGAATCTACACCCAACACGTGTCATAGGAATGACTCATTACTCATACCAGGAATAGAAAAAATACTACTACCAATCAAATCAAGAGATGAGAAATAGTGGAACCCATATAAACGAAGTTAGAAAGTTGTGTAAGTAACTGGATATGATTATAAGGAGCAGGAATAAATTGTGCTCGAAACGTGGTCATCAGTAAATATTGCTGTATAACATTGTGTGACTTTATCAAAATATATTTCACTCACACTGGAATTATACTCAAACCACAGTGGAAAAGTTCTTTTCAGAGCTCATTCTTGCAGCCTAATTTTCCACTCGGAACGCCAAGGAATAAAAAGAAGCGAATAATAGGCAAACTCTGTAATTAGCCTAAGCAATTACTAAAGTGATCTCTGTCATTGAATTCAGAGTTGGTTGACTCAACTTTACAAGTTTCAAAGGAAAATAAATGTCTCTTCTGCTTTGAATATTAGTTTAAAAGACGAAAAAGATGATATTAATCCATCTATTTCAAACGACTCTATTAAGCATGGAAGTTTCAGCATTTTCATGTGCCAGTAGGTTAACTCGTTCTACAAATTAATGTACTGAGTCATTTCTAAGTTTGATCTCGAATTGACTTCAGTTACAGAACTATTGAACACTTGATCCGTCTTACTTTGAGAGTGATTTTTCAGCAGTACAAATTTGTGACCTCAACAAGTATCAAACTAAGAATCTCCAGATGACAAAACCAAGCTCGTTGACTATTCTGGCACTGGGACCGTGACAGATAGCTTGAATTGATGATGGTTGGAGACAATCAGCCACAGGAAGCCCTACTTCACCAAGGTTTCATGCTAGTTGGCACTCGTCAGCAAGGCGTATCTGCAACCATGAAGGAACTGCATCAAACAAAGTACTAGACACATCACTCTAATTACTAGTGTCCAATCAAAGTATCCACTACGGTCCTACAGGAGGTCAATCGCGAGTCCAAATAGCTCAGTGGTAACGTTTCTGAATGCAGTACTCATTGGGTGACTCGCGTTAGAATCTCAGAGGGGATATAAGTTCCTTCAAGGTAGTTACAGATACGCCTTGCTGACTGACTGGTGAGTGCCAACTAGCACGAAAACTAGGTGAGATGGGGCTTCCTGTGGTCAACTGCCTGCCACCATTTAATATCATCAAATCAATGTGCACCCTGATGGTGAGCCACCTAGTGACACTGTGGCCATATTGCAAACTTGACTGACTGATAGAATTCAGTGTGCCTCAAAGAAAGGACTAGACACATCACACTAATTACTAGTGTCCGATCAAAGATAGCTTGAATGCCAGTCTACATCTGTCCTTGCAACCAAGCTGGCTAACTCCACTTCCCAGGACTTCCAGCTACATATTCAAGCAACTTCATCAATTGGTAAGTCGATAATAAGCACCAGGCTAGTTTTCTTAATTTCTCTAGGTGGTAAACGTTTTTCATATCATATTTGCCAATTAATAATTGAATTATTTGACTTGTCTTCATTAATTCTTTTAGTGCCAACACTGTCCTCCTCCTCTTCCTCCTCCGTGTCGTCCATGTCGTTTTCATCACCTCTACACTCATCATCATCATCATCATCTTCGTCATCATCCTCAACGTTCAATCGTAAATTCATTCGACCAAATATCCTGAGTGAAACAAATCATTTAAAGGTAAAAAATGATGCAAAACTATCTTTTGTTGAACGTTTAATACGTTCAATGAATTATTGTACACGTTTACAAGTGAACAAAGATACATTTATAGTTTTCATTCTATTAAATTGTTACTTTTACACATCTGTATTACATCATATTTTATAAGAAAATGAGAAAGTGAGAGTGAATTTGTGGAGAGAGCGAGAGCGAGAGATGTAGAGAGACAATCTCAAAAGTTGTAAACGGAAATGTATCTTCAGCATAAACTGAGGGAATTTTATTCTGATATAGATTTCAGTTGTATTACTTTATTTCTTATCTTCAAATGAGTCTTTACCTTCTATTGTTATTATTTATGTAAAGGAAGCTAAAGACATCTATACATGTATATGAATGTGTTTATTCTTTTTATTGAAAGAACACAGAGTTAATTTATAAGTAATGAGTTGTCTTTTTCTGCATACACCGACAGTAATGATGCTGGAGCGAACTGGGGTATACTATAAGACGATACTTTGGGTTTGTTTTGCATATTTACAGAAGTGATGATGAGTTTTGATCACTTAACTTCGTTTAAATAAGTTATAGCGCTTGTAATGAACTGATTGTTATAGGGACACTTTCGCCAACTTGAATCATAGCTTGTAATGGAATAATATTCATGTAATGATAACAGGAAGCGTGCAGTCCCAAGCAGTTCACTCTATCCTGCTTCAGAACTGTGAAACACGAGTGTTGAAGGTAATATAAAGGAGTTAACTGCATACGACCACGAGTATCTGAGTTCTGTCTGCTGTTTTAATTGGTGTAAAATGTTCATTAATCTTAAGGTTTCGTATTAACTGCTAGGTAAGGATAGATGTCAGTCAGGTGAGGTTATGAAGTTGAGGTTGATTGAGTTGGCTAGGATAGGTGTTACTCTCGACAAGTCATTGAACTCCTCACTGAGCAGTGGTAAGTGACAAAGAATTAGGTTGCAAAGAAGCTTTTCTTCTTCCACAGGTATCGAACGGAAGATAAGGAATCAAAGTTTGAAGGTACAATGATAATAGTTTCCTTTTCAAAGTGTGGTGTTGCTTTCCTCATGTCCAACCTTCCAAGTTTCCTGTGCTCGCAACTAATTAGGCGATGTTTAGAAATGTATACACAATGAGTGAAACTTCAGAATACACTCGTAGCTGGTGGACATTCGACCAATGAACCAGCGATGCATGTCGAAAATGTTTAGTATTGGTCAAAACAAAACATGGCATGAATCCATGTTGTGTATGAATATTGACTAAATTCACGTTTTGAGATATTGAATACTTGTCCGGGATCTTCGTCATGCTAAGAATCAGTGCCTGATGCTTGTCTTTGGTCAAAGCTCATAAATGTTGACAAATGGTTCTGGCTGACTGACTCTTCATGAAATTTCAGGTCTACTACGTTCTCGTTACTCCACTTGTAAGTAATCTATTCCCTTACAATTGCTGGATCGAAATCCTCCATGCTTTCCTCTGAAAACCGAGAGAAACTCGTATCTGCTCGACTCCATATATCAGAATGTATCAAAATTACACGATGGCATATATTACCAGTTACTGAGTCATTGGAAACAACTCGCGCCAATCACTGATAGTTCCTAGCCGGGTTGTAGCCATCTATAAGCTAAATGGCTGATGAACCTGACTCGGTATACACTGCCAACTGTCTGCCCAATGTTTATCAATCAGTAGTACTTACCATACTGGAGCCATAGTTACCACACTGATTACTATTTGTGCTATCACATGTTAGGATCTGAATATTTTTCGTTTCCAAAGTAAGCCAATATGAATTTTCACCTAGAGCTGAACAATCTGTAAGTAGAGAATTTGAATTGTGACTGAGATCTGTAAAATTGATAAACACGCGTAATTTGTGCCTTGAAACCGTCACTTTTGCTTCACAGAAAGCTTAGACTAAAAGATGTGAACATTATTCGTTGATGAAAGAGTTCTTTCAGAGTTGAAGATCCCTTACTTGTGTCAGTGTGATGCATTGTTAGTTATATGGCTAAGTGGACCCATTGACGTTGGTTGGAATTAGTCATATACATTGATCACCAACACATGATGCATATTTTATAAATGTACAATTTAATTTCTACACTCTTGCTGTTTAGTGGCTATTTGTTCTAATGAATGTTTGCAGCATCTAGGAATCCACAGTTTTCTTACCTATTTAAACTGGGTTCATAGATAAAAAGCGTTGTGGCTAATAATTGCTCAGAGGAAACTATACTACTATTATACCCTTGAATTGTCGGTGGAACATAAGGCTTCAGCAGCACATACCATTTTCACTCTCTTCTCAGCAGTCGCTTTTAAGACTGATCATGAGATCTCATTTATGCGTCAAAAGAACTTATCCGTGTCACCCATGCTCAACTCTTAGTTTCCAATCCAGGTAATACTAGAGAGTCTGAAGAGTGGCGTCACTCAACGGTCTTTTCAGTCAGTATACGTGAAATCCTTCTCCATTTCCTTCTGCATTTTTCAGGTGATAGATTCTTGGTCAGTTCTTTGTCACATATCCTTGTTGCTAATCTTTGATGTGGAGCCAGAGAAGGCAGCTGCTAATGAACATGTGCATTAGGCTGCTGAAAATATCTTCCATGACGCGTTGCATATTTGAAACACTGACTAAATGACATTAGTGTCGAAAATTCGGATCTTGTTTGTTGTTTCGAGTGAGACTGATATCCAAACTGATTTCAGATTAGTGAATGTCCGTCCTGCTTTTCGATCTTAACTAGTCTTGAAATCCTTATCTACACCGCCAGCAGTCGAAACAATGGTGCCCACACGGGTGCAATTGTAAAAGGTGACTGCCTTTAGATATCTCCTGTTGGTGGTAATTTTTGCTTATTGTTGTCACTTAGATATCTTAATTAACTCTGTGCTGCCCATATTTACCTGAATTCATGTCCCCCGCTATCTCTTTCGCCAACTTGTTAGTCCCTAACTGTAGATCTTTGAGTTTTCTTGACGTTAAACACAAATCATCCGCAAAATCAAAATACTCTGGAGTCTTTTTAATCGGTTCGGTATATGGCCGTCTTCTCGCTTTCCATTTGCTGTTCCATGATCCAGTCAATCACAATCTGGAATGTCATTGATAATTGTTGGCAACTTTGTCTTACTCCTGACTGCACTTGAAAGTCTCCACCAGACTTTCCTTCTTGAATCTTTGAGTATAAAGCATAATCCTATAGCTTTCTGAAGAGGTTCACAGTGGTTTGCAACACTGCACTCCACACTACTGAGGATGTCTTCAAATTACAGGACCGGCGGATTTCATCATAACCTTACATTAGTTAGAGATCCATTGGAAAACCTGCCAGGAAGTACTGTACAACTGTTTCATCCTTGTTTGAGACTCTTAGGCAGTATGCATCCATCCACCTTCGAACCCAGGACTTCCTCCTTCCTCCATCCAGTCGAACGAAATTCCCACAAAACTAATACTTTAAAATTAGTCTGATGCTCACTAGTGACTGGATGTATTCAGGCAGTTACCTGAAGTTTGAGCGGAAAGCCGTGGACAGTAGCGTCCAGCAGGTTGAAGATGAGAAGACATTGCGAAGTGGACGCGCTATGTCATGAATTGGCAGAAGTTAGAATTGATGGGCTGGCCATTGGTTCGCCTCCCAGTGGCTTAATGGTCTACTAGCTAGCTCGCCTTGTAACCAGAAGGTCCTGGATTCCAACCTTAGTGGATGCCTATCGTCGAAAAGTCGCGAGCAAGGCCAACGAAACAGCTGTCCATTACTCCTTGCAAGTTTCCTAGTGGTTCTCTAACTGATGTCAAATCATGATGAAATCATCCAACCAATCAAAGAATAAACTGATATGCCAAAAATGTTGACAATACTTCGAAGCGACTAAGTCTCTCATATCCTTCAACGACTTAGTTTTATTATTTATTCTAGTGTAAATCTCATCATGAACAGATATGACTTAGAGATCCAAAGTAAACCATGGTTAGCTTGACAAGTATTTCGTTCTAGTTCAGTCCTCTAACAAAAGTCAAAATTTAAAAGTCCTTGGATCTCAGCCTGTAGGGTGAGCGGTCTTTATTATTGTTTCGTAAACTGTGATTCCAAGACTGCCTCTCCGAATAGGTTATTGGTGAGCACTGAAGAAGAATCTCTAGGTAGGATTTAACACCCGCCCGATGATGCATGGTTTTCAGTGATTCTCAAACTACACTGATTTCGTTTCGTGACAAAACCTACACTGAAATCAACCAAAATACCTACAAAACTAAAATAACTACTGACTGTATTAAAACAAAGATTTCAGTGAAGAATCTACGATTTTGTTTTCATACGAGAACTAAAAGCGACAATTACAATCAGTTTTCTTGTGCGTGTGTTAAACATTGAATAGGAATACTGAATTGCAATAATCTTGGTGTAAGTGATTATGAGTGAAAGAGTGATTAGAAATATGAATGATGCTCACTGGCGACTGGCCCTATTCATGCAGTCACCTGGGATTCATTTGGGAAGCCGTGACCTGTAGGGTAGAGAAGGTTGAAGGCGAGACAGTAACTCATTGAAGAAGACATCGTGAATTCCACTGACCTAATGGTCTTCCAGCTAGTTGGCCTTGTAACCAGAATGTCCAGGGTTCGAGACCTGGCAGTGAATGTGTACTACTGAAGAGTCCCAAAGTAGGCTGGCGAAAAAGCTGACTATCCAGTATTCCCAAATGGTTTTCTAGTGGTTCTCTTACTGATGTCAGGTCATGGTGAAATCTTCCAACATGTGAATGAATAAACACAGTTCAACATACAGTGCCGCGTTAGGCATGAAGAACAAGAATTGGACTTTCAATAGAAATGTGGTTTGTTGTTCCTTCTATATGAGTCTGAAACTTGCACTGAGTGTCACGAAAAGCATTTCCAGCAGACTAAAGCAGACTTGTATCAAAAGCTTTCTTGGCTAGCTCAATGCTGAAGATAAAACGGCCAACCAGCCAGAAGGAATTAGAAACAAGAAATTATGGTAATAAACTGCCCAAGAGCTGATTGCTCGACGAATATGTAGGAGAAAAATGGAGATGGATGGATTGGGCATACATTGAGTGTACCGTCGAATGATATGGCACTCAGTTGAGTCCAAATGGGAAGCTACGAGTGATTGGTTGGTACGAGGGTTACATGGAGGAGATCGTTTGAATTGGAGAAGGAGATGAGAGATTATGCGCAATCTTGGGTTAAGCTGAAGAGGACAGCAGAGAATAAAACAAAGTGGAGCTGTGTTGTTGAGGCAATATGCTTCACTCTGAACCCAAAGGAATAATAACAGTTTGATGAAGTAAAACAGAGATGCCTAAAATAGATGCGATAAGAAAATAAAGTACATTTGGAAGTGTGAATATGTGGATATGTCATGTTTAAATGCAATAAGATGGCAGAAATAAGATAAGCAGTGAAGTGCTGTTAACAAAGTAAAGTAAAATAAAATAAATGAATGTTAAATAAATGTTACAATGCGATGATGAAAATTGAAATAAAACAAAACAAAGTGGAATAAAGAAGTTTTATGAATCACGTGATAAAATTATGACCATAGTAACAAAAGAGATAATACAAATTGATTTTGTAAACGCAGTTCTTGCTTTATGTTATGTATTGGCAGAGATTTTGCTGTACGAAGCAAATGAACTTGTGGCACTTTCAATAAACTTTCTCCGAACTTGTAGACAATGTTAAATGATGTATCATAAGCTGTGTAGTCATTATTTACGATAATGTTGTAGTATCAATGAATTAATAGCTATACGCAGGTCTTTGCTTAGCCAAGCTGGGAAGTAGTATAATAAGCGGCAGGATATATTCCTCTACGAACATCCTGTGTATCTACCTTCGCAAGAGCAGATTATCATATAAAGGCTTCTAACAATCTCACTACTTCTGATCTACTAGTTTGACATATGTAATTGACCTCACAGTCATTGCAAGGTATTTTGTAAATTATATTATTTTGCTTAATTGGGTCCACTGGGTCCTTAAGCACACAGAGCTTGTCCTTGTACTTCTGAATATACTTCATTTTCTTATATCACCTATGTTACGCGTCTCTGTTTTACTTTATCTTGAATTACATTTATTCATTCATATGTCTAATCACAATATGATGGTGGGATACGGACAATGTGTTCCAACAAAATATTATTCTTACATATTCCCACAATTTAATAATGCATTAGCAACAGAATACTATCTGTGTATTTGGACATTCTATTTCATGTCGTTTAATGTAAACCAAAATCACACGCTCACTTATTGGTTAAGCAATAGTACTGTTGTTACAGCTCTTTGACTCACAATCATTCACACCAATATTATTCTACTTCAGTGTTCCCACTCACTCAGTATCAACCTTTAACACACACACACACTCAAACAAACAAGAAAACTGATTGTTATTGTCTATTGTAATTCACATATGAAAGCAA